TGTTTTTTTAATCTCGGGACTTCTGGTACATGAAGTTCCTATTTTTCATCCTTTATTCTATATCCAATATTTTAAATGAATTCTACTTTTCTACTCTCACTAGAAGGATTGCCAGATTAATGTACAAAATAAACAAATCTAAGCAGTTTTGTACTCATCATTCATTAATTAAATTACCAATTAAAGTACTTGATACTCAAACAGTATGGGAGTACAAGTCATTTGGGCCCAGGGCAGATTTTAATACCCCTAAAAGAAAAAATAATAATTATAATAAGTTAAAAACTTCATTTAAAATTCAAAAAGTATTTTTTCATCATGTGTATTTATTCTGAGGTTCAGTTAAGTAATTAGCCTACTAAACATAAATATAATATGAAGCATTCTCGAAAAAAAATCAGTTAAATTAAAAAAAAAAATATGTATATATATATTCTTTCATATTTTATGTTGTTTCATAAATTCTTATTCTTCCGTTGAAGTGTGATAATATGATTAATTAATAAATAAATAAAGACAAAATTACCACTAAATACAAAAATATTTGTCATCTAATTAAAGAAAAATCGTGAAAAGGGAATCTAATGTGGGGTCTGTGGCAGACCCACTCTCTGTCTTCTCCCTCCTACTACTTAATCATGATTTTTTATTAAAGTCACATATTGAGAGGCTTCCAACCAGACTAATTTTGAAAAAATGCTCATAAGTTCTGAGAAATGAAATAAAATAAATTGAAGAGGTTGAAGAGGTTGGTAATGCTTCATCTTTTGTTTTCACCAGATCTGGAAATGAAATTTTTAATCAGTTTCAATGACCTGAATTTTTTTTTTCGATTTTTTCAGAACTAGAACCTTTTTCCTTGCAACTTTTCAAGTAAAGGTTTTACAGAACTTCTATTTTTTAAAAGTTTTGGTGATTTTGCTAAAAAGTCTATCTAAAAAATGACTTTTGTTTTTAGTTACTTAAACAAATGACACATTAGAATCATGTGTAATTCATTTAAAACAAAATATAAAGGAAGGAGATTTCATAGCTAGAAGTTTCACTTAGAATTCTCACTTAGAACTCAGTTCTAAGTGAAACTCATAGCTGAACACACTTACCTGAAGAAGACCTGCAAAGTCGGGTCGAAATGTTGGCTTTTAATAAGATAGTTTTGCCGCTATTCAGCCTATTTATGACCACCACCCCGGACCATCTCCTTCCTTTATAATGCAACAGTCAACTATTAAATATTCAAAAAACAAAATATAATTCTAATCTAAGCCCAATTACCGTTTATTTCTTATTTGCCATAACTTATTTTTCCCTTTTTTTTTATTAAATTTAAATTAATGTAAGTTACTTTTACCAAACCTCTAGAGCTTTATTACAAAAAAGTTCCTTAGAACTTTTTAAAAAAGTTCCATTAAAGTTTCAAACTCTGGTTTTCATCACTCAGCCTCTGATTCTTTTAAAACTTATTTTATTAAGTTGTATACAACATATTACATTAATTTGGTCTAAAGAGTGCTACTACAATTATATTACCATTACTAATGTATCCTTTATTTTATCTCACATAATAATTTTAACACTAATTTAATTTTAAATCATTATTAAAATTTTTATTCTATTTTTAAGGCAAAGTTGTGGTTTCATCAGTCTCTCAAGAACACACTCCATATTCACCATGATCCTTGGGTTTGTCTTGCCACTTGGTATATTGTATTATTTTTCAACAAAGCTTTATTTTCCATTTAAGGATAGTGCGACAAGAAATGAAAAACCAGTGATTGTTTTGATATCTATATGTTCTGTTTTATTGATCCCACACATTATTCAAATCAATATTACACATTTCTCTGTAACCTTATTGAAATCCAACTCAGAAATTGAAACTAGTCATGATAACATACCTGAAATATTATTCATTTGGTTAAGGTATGGATTTAATACTATTACACCAATCGCCGTACTATATTTATTAACAAATGTAGAATATCAATGGAAGCAGTTATATTATCATTGTTTTAAAAACAATTCTGTAACTAAATACTTAAACAGGAAAGGAAAATCCAAATTGCTGTTTACTCAAAAGAACACCCCAATATTATTTCCAACGGAAGAAGGACTAATGCTAAGATTAAATGATACAATTAAAGATATTGATGTTACCTTCAACATAGGAAGTCTACAAGTAGATTCATCAACATCTGCAGAGTTCTCTACATTTTCATCAGAAAAAAATGTTGCTGGGAAAAAAAAAATAGTTCGATTTGCACATTCTGTGAAAGAAATTTCGATGACCACTCAATGGGATTGTAATAGCGACTGATGTATATCTCTCCAATTTTTACTTGAATTGGAACTGCTAATGAAAATTTACATTGCAACTCCTACTGCTAATTCAGGATATTTAATCGTTGGTTACGACTTTGTAGGCTGTGAAACAACCGTTTATTATAGAATAGTTTTTTTTCTAACAATTTATAACTACTAAGAATATGTTACCTCTAAAATTATAAGATTCCTAAAGAACTTAATATATGATATAAATAGAAACACTTTAAACCAAAATAAAGCTCTAGTACACAATTTTTAAAGGATATTTGAGCTAAAAGATATTTATTCAAGTTATATTTTGTGACAAAATATAAATAATAAAAGATAAAATACATTCATTACAGCTTAAGTCGAAATATCAAGAAAAATAAAATACTGTGATTTGAATTGTAATAAAATAATGTAAACCAAAATATGAGCAAAGGAGCCCAATGTACATGTGAACATAGAATAGTGATATAAATATATATAGCATATTTGTTAACTGTATTCTATTATAACTTTCACAAAAAATATATACTCTGTGATATGTTGTAGTTTTATTAATATATTTTTGTTTTTAACCTTTTTTTTCTTAAGTAGCTTCTCAAAAAATAATTTTCTTCCACCAGAAAACAAAAAATTTTTGTAAATAAAGTTGAACTTTTGAAATAATTTTACCATAATGAGTGAAAACAACAGAATATAACAAATAAATACACACACACACACACACACATATATATATATATATATATATATATATATATATATATATATACTGTAGCTTAATATATGTGCTGGTGGATGGTGCTGAGACTGTCGGTGTGTCCCTGGCCTGAGGTATGAAGCACTATTTAAAAACTTTAAAAAGGATCCCATTGTTAACTTGAACAGGGATCGAAACGTTGAATAAACACAGAAGCAATGAACATTTAGTAGTTTATTGAATAATTAATAAGTGACCTTATCCCCAATTAAATAATTATATTTAAATTTAATAATCAAAGGTTGATTAAAGAAAATTGTATATATATATATATATATATATATATATATATATATATATATGTATATATATAGGATATTAGTATTGGAAGATTCTAAAGCCTAAAATCTCTAAAATAACAGAACGTAAATAAGATATCGTTTAGCCAATTCGGGCATTATCATTACTAAAAATTCACGATAATAGAGACTAATAGGGAGGATGAGAGATATCCTTCATAACATTAGTACATTTCTAGAAATTTTTAAAGCTAAAAATGAATAATGTAAAAAATTGAAAATATCTTAGATTTCTTAGTTTATACAACCTCAAATAAAAATACAACGTTTTTCACAGTCCAACTAGTTTGTCGCGGAAAATGTAATAAGAATATCACATGAAAATTGAGGGGTGATTGAATCATAAAATCCTAGGATATCTTGATATATATTATTATCTTTGAATATAACTGATAATTTAAGTAAAAGTAACATTTAGGTATAACCCCCCTTGCCCTTCCAAGTCTGTGCCTATGATTAAAACTAGACTTCAAGTTTCTCAGATAGCAGTAAACAAATAACTGGTCCAAAATTTGCTAATTCAAACATCCTCAAAACAAAAACAAATAAGGCCCCATTAATGAAAACTTTAGATAGCACATCTCACTTAACAGCCTAAAAAAAACCAACTTAATGAAGATAATTAATTTATTATAGGGTTATGTCTTTGTATATATTAATACACATTTGAAAATTAATATTGTCAATTACCTACTTTTAATAAATATATATAACAATTAATTATACTTGATCATAGATGGTGATTAGCACGGGCAGAACTACGGGGGGGGGGGGAGGCCTCAGCCCGAAAGCCCCCTCCCCCCCCCCAAAATGGTAAAATATGACTATGTTTTATGGAAAAAAAAGTTTAAAAATACCTCTTAAAGTATTATTGTTCGTGTAATTATATTTAAAAGGAATTGAGGAATCACTTAAACACCATTTCATATAGGCAGTTAGTTTTTCCTAAGTAATTATCGTTATTTTTATGAAAAAAAAGCGTTCGGGCTAAAGCCCTCCCCAAAATTAAATCCTGGGTCCCCTAGTGGTGATTAGTAAAGGTAATGTTATATAATGTAAATATTATGATTCTACTTGGAACAATTCCTGAAAATAATTTTGTCTAGTGATTTGAAATTATAATCCAAGTTGATCAAATACTGTATTATTATTATTTTTTCAACTGTAAACCTAAATTTTAATATATTATCATTTAGTCAAACTAACTACTTCTTGTTTCCATACACAATGCCTGACTGCACAAGTATAAATGGCAGTTTATTCATTTTAATTCACAAATGGTAACTTGTGATTTTTTTTCTGTAAATGGAAACTCATTTTTTTTTCCTATAAGTAGAACATTATTAATTTTTTTCTTCAATAATTTTTAATTCTAAAGTTTTAATAATCAATCAAGGCAAATGTCACTTTATTTTTCTAGTTCACCTATGTGCATTTCTATCATGCACTCAATAAATGTGCATTCATGTCACCTATGTGCATTCAATCAATAAATGATTGAATCTATACTTTCAGTTGTTAATACTTTTTCTGTTAATGATTGAATAAAATAATATCACTCTTAAAAGATACTTTTTAGATTTACTAGCCATAAATAAAAATATTAGTATAACTATAGGCATGGGAGAATATATCAGTAAAAATTTTATATTCAAAATCTAGATTTAATGCATAACTTAAGATAATCCAAAATAATATCCAAGGCTACTTACCATTAAATCAAACGTAAATAAATACAATTTAATTTGTGCCAAATTAATGGAATAGTTTATAATCTATACAAATAAAAAATCCAAATAAATAAGGTTAAAGAGATTTATTAAAAACATTTATTATAATACGAAACTAATTCTATTACATTTCATGGTATTTATGCACCAAAACTAAGAAACAAATTTTCAATTGAAAAATTTACAAGTCTTACAAGTTCCACAATGGTTTGTTTGATGGCAACACAATAATAAGTATAATATGCATATTAATTACAACAATACGACACTTTGATTGAAAAAAAGCACACTTAATATTAATAGACAGTCATGTGTGCAATTAGTGAAACTGAAAATAATGTACTATATAATACATTTGACTTCAATTCTTTCTTAATTTTGTGCCAATTGATTATACTAAAACTGAGATCACATAAAAGAGCAATTTAACAGAAGAATGGCCCTATTCATAACAAATATTTATAAGTCAAATGTTGATTAATAGAATATAAAAATCAAAGAATGTTATGCCCAGGATAATAATAATACAATCAGTGGTAAATGTAATAAGCTCAACAGAAATAGATTTATCTCACAGTTATAAACACAGATAAGATGAACAATCTAATACTACATTTTATAGTGTACACATTTACTTATTATATATAGGTTAATATTATTTTTCTCTACATGTTAGAACACCGAAGTTTGAGACATTGAGAGTTTCGAACAGTTTGAATAGGTTAATTTGCAACAATTAGTTTAATAAAGATAATGAATTAACATTGTAACACTTAATCTTAATAACATCTGGTTCTTAATTTACTGACATTTAACATCGAGATAGAGGAGGAGGATAAGCAGAGGTCATATGGAAAATTAGGTCAGATACACAAATATATATTACTGTTCAAAATAAATATTGTTATAAATATGCATTTTTCAATACTCCTCTATAGCCAACAATATAAACACTTATATAATTATGTATACACTTATATCTATCTATTTTTACATTTAAAACACCCATGTAATTTTATTGAATAAATGAAAAGTAGTGAGCATATGTAGGAAAGTAACTACAAGGACCATGAAGGACTAAGTAATAACCAAAGAAGGCACACAAAATTTACAACATTTAAGTGTCCACAGCAACTAGGACCCTGCATTGCCGACATTTTTTTTAAATAGTGATTTAATGCAGCCAGTAGCTGCAAAATCATGAACCATTAATGTGAAATCATAAACCTTTAATTGCCCATTAAATGAAAGTTGTATAATTGTAGAGAAAGAGGAGTCAATGGCCACTGCTAACTAGTTGTGCAAAAAGAATAATGAATGTTAAGAAAATGCAATTTATGTAGAAGCAATTCCGTCTTTGTTTCAAAAAATAAATAAATAACAAATCAAATAACTATAAGATCAGAGATGAATGTACCATAATAAATACATTTAGAAAGAAAAAAAATTGCTCAATTGAAGAAGTTAGTAACAAAAATAATTAATTGCTAATACAGAACAAAACAAAAATATATAGTAATGGATCTTTGGTACAAAATGTTTAAATTACAGGAAATTAAAGGTCACAGAATAATATAATGCATTAAACTTTCCAAGAAACTAATAATCTAATTTTCCAGTTTTTTAAGTACATACAACAGAGTCACCAAGACTGCACAATAAATACATTATAATTTATCTTAATTATTTAAAAAAAATGCTAATGTTTCTAAAAAAAATAATAATCAATACAATAAATTACAAAGTAATAAAGAATTTAATATTAAAATATTTAGAAAAATATAAAGTAACTATTATCTACCTAATACATGCAGCATGTGACATCCACAACATACAGTAAGGGTAATAAACCCTTTTTCCTAATAATAATTTTTGTTATGTATATGTTACATACAATGATATACATAAGCTTGCGTGTATTTTATAGTAATGCACTATTCCAATCTGGATTACATAAGATACAATTAACGGAATCAAGTTTCTTTTTTAAATATAAAAACATTATAAATTTTTATATCAATATACAAAATCTTAAACAAATGGAATGATTTTTATTTTATAAATCATGTTTTAGTCAGGATTTATACAAAAGTATGCATGTAAATATATATATTATACATATTGTAATATTTATATATCAATACACACAAATATATAAATAAAACCTGAATAAAAACAATGTTATGTCAAATTTATACAAATAACTCACAGCTAAACTTTGGATGATAATGTAGTATGCACAAGCATGGACAGGCTTTGGTTTTGTAGAAAAGGATTGGGAAAATAATCTATAAATAAATTTAAAATGTTAACAAAATGGAAACCATTAATTTCTTGATTAAGTTATTCCCACTTCTTTTCTCATTGACCATATACGATTGTGCATATAATGAACCAATGGATATGATTTCATTTTTAAAATATCAGCACCAACTTAAAATCCCAAATAATAGTAACTAAACTTGTATACTTCAATCTGATCTTACCTTACCATGTACAAAATAATAATTATCTCAACTTTAGAGCATACAAATTAATATTCACAAAATATACATCTTTTTACACTATCAGCCTCTTGATGTTTTCTTAAAGGGTAGAATAATCAAGTGCTAATAATAATGCCTATTTCAGCAAGACATTAGAAAAGTAAAAACCATTTTTAAGTTCTGTTGTACCATATGACATCCCTAAATAATAATAAACAAATGAAACCCCTGTCTTATGTAATACACAATATAAAAAAAAAGAAAGTTTTTCATTTAATATCAGAGAATAAATTTCTTTACTCTATGAAAAAAAATTTGAACACTGATATTACCCTTCTTCTCAGGGGGTACCCCTTAATCATCATCCAAAGAAAATGTCCAAAACATAAAATATAAAAATAGTCCATTCAATATACATATGTAATAGACATTTAACATCTAGTAATTTATTGAAGTGCTATCATCAATCAAGTATATAAATATATATATCAGTCTAATTACACAAAATAGCACACCGTTTACAACAATATACATAGTCTGTCTTAAAATTGACTCAGTAAATGGCACACAGAAAGAAATATCTGTAGTTGTGCTTATATTGTACACTATTAGCATATGAAACAACAAACTGGAAATGGATATATTTTTCACAAAAATTAATTCATCTTGAAACGAAAGGAAATTTAACACCAGCTTTCAGATGCAGTAGTTTGATAATTGTCATCATCATCATCGTCATCACTAGAATCTTTCCCATATATATCGGCAAGCTTCCGGAAACGTGGCCCAAAGTTAGACAAATAATCAAAATTCAAATCACCTTCATCAGTTCCTAAAAGAGATTATTAAATTTAATAAATTAAATATATGAACTACAAACTAATAATTTTATTTTAAGTTGTATAAATTGAATATATAATAAACATGCATTGATTTATACACACCTGAAGCTAATGATGATAGAGAACCAGTAGTATTTCCATCACCTTCATAAGCATAATGCCTAACATCATCAAAAGGATTAGTTTCAGGATCATTATCAACAGACTGTTTTTTTCCATCCAGAAAACCACATATATCAGGAACTTCATCTGTTGAAATAATGTAATGAAAAATTTATAAAACAATTAAATTAATAAATAATAAAAGTGTTATATAATATACATTATAATAAATAAATAAAAGTTTTATTAGATACGTTAACTTTTTGTATATAAATCATAAACTAAAGTCACACAAAAACACCTACTGCATAAATGATTATAGAATTTTTTTGGTTATTCGAACGTTCCCTTCACAACAGCAGAAACTCCCATATTTAGAGTTTATATATAATCATTGGGTTAAAGATAATTTAGTAAAAACTGTTTACTAAGACTATTTAATTTTAAAAGGAATACTAATATTTTTCTGCTTAATTGTCTTTGGACAAAACTAAAATTAAGAGATTTACATCTTTATAACATATCCGTTGAAACTTATTTTCATTGTTATGAACCTATTCATCTTTCATACATATAAACGTAAACATCACCATGATTATTCAGACTAATGAGGAACATTATACCATGCTATTCCATTTTTTGGAGGAAATAAAATTGTACAAGATATGAACAAGATAAAAATGAATGCCAACTGAACATGAGGCTGAGCAATAAATTAAAAGGAGCTTAATACGAGAAAAATATTAAATATGTATATCAGTTTATATCACCACATAATACAGACAAGGGTATGTAGCAACATTGTTTCACCAATCTCAAAAAATAAAAGAACTAATAAATTAAAGAAACACATTCACACCCACATAAATAAGAAATAAATACAGATACACCAAGGATATCTGTGTATATGTGATTAAGTATGTATATATACATATTTGTAGTTGCAGATAAATAAATAAAATAAAAACGTACATATACATATATAAATAAAAAGACACCAATAATCTCAAATTAGCTAAAAAAGCATTATGATATATTAAACATAGTGTATTGATATATTAATACACTCACACCCAAACACACACACATATATATATATATATATATATATATATATATATATATATATATATATATATACATATATACACACACACACACACATATATATATATATATATATATATATATATATATATATATATAGCACACATTAAACTAAAATAATGATCCAGTAGCTTTTAGCATCATGTTATAAAGCACACACATATGCAAAACAAATACATTTTATTAAAAACATCTAAAAATATGAAATAGCCATTTTTAAAAATTGTTTTTTACAAAAGGATTGGACTACTTTAAAAACTGTGTATTAACCTAAGAAGCACAAAACCTTGTAATAATTCCACTACTCCATATATAGAGGGGTGGCTATAAACAGATATCAGTGTCTGATACAACTACATAAGATTATATACACAATACATGACATCAAAATAGTGAGTATGAAACAGGTGTGCTCTTTAAACAGGAGAAGATTGCTAAGCCAAACAGGCATGCCTGAACAGTTTAAACTACTTAATCAATGCACAAAGAGCTGTCTTTAATTAGATGCATTTAACCAAATTTGAACCGTAAGTAGGCAACAAAAATGGTAGAAAGAAAGAACCATATTAATTTAATGTAACATAAAATCATTTGAGGTCATATAATATATTTATATCTATAAGATTACAAAAATGGGACATCAAATTATTTTCAAAAAACACATAATGTTAGCTAGGATCCAAAAGTACTCCAATGATAGCTCTGGGATAATCCATGGCTATCATAGAAAAAGATAATATTAAACCAAAAATGTACGATTCTGACAATTTATGATATGAATGTTAATGGGTGAATAATAATTCAAATTATCAATAACAAAAAAAAAAAAACTGAGAGTTTAGTCATTTGCCAATGAAATAAAAATGGATTTCAAATTGTTTGTCAAATGATTAAGGAGAAACATAAAAAGATAAAGGAATCATACAAATGTGAAATAAACAAAATGACCAAATAAATTGACTTGAATAAACTAAATAAAAGCTAATATTTACAAATAAGCAGTAAGTTAATCCTAAAAAAAAAAAAAAATTGATAGTGTGTTTAATGAACAAAAACCATTTTACATATTAATAATAATAATCATGGGTAATGATGTTAAAAAAAAAAGTCATTACTTCTAAATATGAGAGTTTCTTAAGTATTAGAAAGGTTATTTTTATTTATTATGTTTTTAAGTGTGGAAAAAACAAAAAATAATTTATGAAAAACAGATTGTAATTTCACTTTTATTTTTTTAATTTTAAGTGTTATTATGAATAATTAATCCAACATTTTTTTATATATGTGAGGCACAAAGTAAAAAAAAAAATTTAAATAAAGATTTAAAGGATATTTGATATCATTAATTAGTGTAACACAATGATTAGAGTTGAAAGTAAATATTTATACTAAATTAATGAATAGAATTTTCTAAAGGTTTCTAGGATGCCTAATAAATGGTGAGTCATAAAATAGAAACTCAATGATAGACAAATAAAAATAAACTGTGCATAAGAGAGTAAATAATGTTTTAAATGAAATTATTAGAAAACAGAAATTAGAATTGATTTTTACGTGAAAGTTAACTAGGGCAAAAACATAAAAACATTTAAAATAGTTTAAAGTCTACTTAAGTTTAAAAATAAGAAAATTGTATGTGATTAATAGAAACAGAAAAAATAAGATATTACAGATCAACAAAATATTAATTTAGAAGAAATGCGTGGTAAAGAAGTATATGTAGTTATGAAGGTTCCCTCCCTCCCTTCTCTTCCTCAAAATAACTTCAGACCATCATCTAAATGAAGTTTGTTGATTCAAATAAGAGAACACTTTAAAAAAAAACTATTGTAATCAATTATTTTTAAGTTTGACAGGCGAGTATGAGAGGAAATGTTCTAAGCTATTAAAAAATACAACTTTTCACTTTAAATTTAGTTGATTAATTGATATAGTGAAACATAAACAACTGTTTTAAAGCATAACATCAAAGATGCAGATTATAGGTGAAACAAACTTAAAACAGCTCCAAACGTAAGTTTATTCTATATCATGTAACATCAGCCTTATATAATATCAGGTTTTTATGAAGCATTTTCCTCTATTTTTGAATTATTATCTTGGAGATCAAATATAATAGTATAATAATGAGTTAAAAATACAATTTAACATATCAAAATTAACTATATTTATAACTTTACATTTATTGGAATTTCACACAATAACCACAAATTGTAAGCTTCAAATTCTCCAAAAGTAAACCCTTTAAATAGTTTTTTATAGATAAAATGCAGAAAAACGTTTTTAAATCAACTACAGAAATATTATGATAAAAATTATATTGACAAAAATTAATATTTTATTGAACAATGTTAAGCACATTTTTATATAAAAAAATGTCTGAAAAAAATACTGGGAAAACAGTAGAAAAATATCCATTAAAAAAGTTATTGTTTGCCTGAAAGTCGGGGCTGTAATAAAAATCATAGCACTTTTTTTTTTCTCAAAATAATCCTTATTTATACAAGGTAAAAAATTTACAACAGTTACACATCATCAGCATTATATTTTAAATAGCTTTTTTAATAAAGTATCACTTTTATTGATTACAGGTTACAGTAAAGCTTTTAATTATTAGATAATTAATTTTAATAATTCATAATAGTAATACTCAATGTGTATATGGGGTAGCAAAAACCAACAGTCAAAAGCATTGTTTGTACACATATTTAAAACAACAAAAAGAGAAAGACTTCAACTTTCTAAACCCAAAATATAGTGGTCAGCAAAGGCAAGGGTGCTATGTTACAAACCACTAATTGACCTATGTCCAGCTCGATAAAATCACTTTACCGATATGACAATAATTGAAATTAAAGATTAATGAACCTTGAAGATGGTGAACATGCATAATTTGCAAGTTCATTTTCTTTTTTATCTTGGGAAACAATAATAATGTACTAAAGCAATGGAATCTTTTGCTAGAAAAGGCTTAAAATGATAAATATAACTATTAACAATTCTTATTTACTTATTTTAAAAACATTTAATTTTAATATAATATAAGCAGTATCCTTAAAAAATGAGTTAATTAAAAAGTTCATTTGATCAATTACATCCAATTAGTTCCTTCTAAAGTCATGAATATTGAAAAAATGTGTTTTAAAAAATACATTTTTTTAATTTATGAATAAAGTACGAAAATAATTTATTTCATGACCTAAGTATTAAAGAAAACTGCTACAAACTATTTAAAGTTCAATCATACAAAATCTGCTTCCTTTTAGGAAAGTCTATCATCATCATTAATTTACTTTATTTCATAAGAATCAAAATAAATATTTTTAATGCATGTACCTAGTACCAAATAATACATAATAGTTAACTGCTTTTTTCTCAACTTTCTAATTAAGATCATTAACTCCAATAAAAAAGCAACACAGATGAAATAAGTATGTTAATACCCTTGAAACTGACTGGAAAAATGTCAGTAATATTCAAAACAGCTCGCTTTTATCACTAGAAAATAAAATCTTAATATCCCAAACCTTTCCTCTCCTCAATTTCTGAAACTTCTCTGCTCTGCACTATCTTGTGCAGGAAAACTAAAATAATAACTCAAAAGGGCAAAGAAAAAACAAAACAAATTCCCATAACTTAATAAAAACATTATTTTTATTTTCATTATAATGAGATAGAACTACTATTAATGTTGCGTCTATACAGGTAGTGTTGTCAAATGTCTTAGTTGACTGAATGCATATTTATATACAGCAGACTTTTTTTTTTAAAGCTCACTCAAAGGATTCATTGAAAGGCAAATATGTAAAAAAGAAAAAGAAAAGGTGTTGAAGAAAGAAAAGCATAAAGAAAAATTCTGAAACAAGAAATAGAAGGCTTACATACAATCATTATCTACACTCACCTTTAATTCTTCCTTTTCCAGTAAGCACACAAAAATATATGACAGTAGAAAAAGATTCAAAAGTTCTAAATTTGCACTAACTGCATTAAAATGTCTTCTCAGAACAATAACTCACTTTGTAACATTTAATGAACAAAGTATGTAATAGAATATTAAAGAGAATAATAGATGAACTAAAACCCACCCCAATATAGCTGTCTGCAGTAATTTTTAGTTTTAATAGAAAGAGCATATCCACTTGAAGTAAAATTGTTTGGTAATTCAGTAATAGAAATAGAACCTAAAAATAGAACTAATCATCCAATATGCATAATTGCCAATTTTAGGTCAGACAAAATGCTATTGTGACTCGCCTGCAGGATGTGCAAAAATCATCAGTAAAATCATGTTTCTAAATGTCCTTTATAAATTTACTGTATCTCATGGTAAAAACTGTCAACAGAAACATGCAGCCAGTTACTAGGATGTGGATATTTCCAAAATATAAAACATAAGCAGAACATACCTGCATAAAGAGGAGTAATGAAAAAGATGAAAGCACTTCAGAAAATGTTCCAAAAATATATTAAAGTTCAGACTAACCACTCTTTTGCTTCATCCACTAAAAATTTAAAATCAATAAAACTTTGTTTAAAAATGAGCAACATCTACTTTTATTTATTCTAAAATTATTGGTATGTGCTGTGCGTGTTCTATTAGATAAACAGGTGCATCATCCTCAGTAAGTCAGCTCTTTGTCAATTTATAAAAGCAGAACAGTTTACAAAAATTTAGAATAATATGAGTGCCTAGGAAAGCCATCGATATCTGCATGCTGTCCAGATGTCTGAATTAACATCATTTTACTATTATTTCTTTGATTAATCAGTGCACAAATGAATAAGAAAATTCTCATCAACTAATTTCTTTAAAAAAAAAAAAAAAAAACATACATTCTCATTTTGTTTAATGGATTAAATACAATCAGGCTAAGACATTTTATTCTTCAAAAACAATAAACAAAGAAAAGTCTATGATTTATAAATACTAAGACATAAGAAAATCTTCATTTTATAAAATAAATTTAAAAAAAAATAAGGAAAAAGAAAAAAGGAAAGGTTATAAAGAGAAGGCATTTACTACAGATATGATAACAGATCAATTATAATATTGTATATTTTGCAATCTACCAGTATTTAGAGCTTTAAAATAATAATTATTTTAATTAAAAATACAACCAGAAAAAAAATTCCTAATTTGATATAGGTAAAGTAAATTAGTAAATGTCATCAAAGTTTAATTCACCATAGATGCCCTTATATTATCCAAAACTAATTTGAACCTTAAGTTTCTTGAAAAAAAAAAAAACACCTCTAGAGCTTGCAGTAAATAGTTTTTTTTGCTTTTAAATGTGAAGAAACAAAACTGAGTTTCTTAATTTTATTTATTTTAATATACAACTCAATATGCCGAATTTTCACCATGCAAGGACTATGGTATGTTATTATGACGTATGGGATGTTATTATGTCACAGTGCTAACTCAGAAATAGCATATAAAAATCAATAAAATTTATCATTATCCACGATTTTAACACTTAAAACTTACTCAAATTAATTGTGCTAGTTACTTATTGACATAGATTATGAACTTGGGATTTGAAAACACAATAGTTCTGAGACATAAAAAAGAAATGCCCCCACATTAATAGACTTCTCTTTGCCCCTCATCATGAAACTTTCTTTAATATTTAAAAATGTAATGAAATTACAAATCAATTTAGAATCAAATACCAACAATAGATGAATAAAATAAAATATAGCATATAATTCAAACACAAAAATCATTTAAGGTTAAGTATTTTACCCATTTCATAAAATACAAACTATGAATATCGTTTACCATAAAAGCCTCAATTAACCCTTTGATTTAAATTTAAATCTAGAAAATATTGAGATAAATAATAACTGCAACATATACACACTTCTTGGATCTTCATTATTTTTAATTAACACTTACGTTTCCAGTATTAAAATTAGGCATTAATCAATCAATCAGTTTAACAAATCCATCCATTAAGAAATTTCTAATATCATATTACACACATTACTTCTCTCACTATCAATCCTTTTATTAAAATGTTTCTTCACTTAATTCTAGAGTTTAAATCAAGACATATTCTTAAATATATATATAATATATATATACTCTATGATAGATGAAAATAACTCAACAGGTGAGGCAATAAAAACATTTCATCGGTAAAATGAAAAAGATCATTAAGTAATATAGTAGAAAATTGAATCACTAAGTAATTTGATGGGTTTTTCTTCAGTGAAATCAAAACATTGTGCACCTAATATAAATATTATTAATGTTATAATAGGGTTTGTGTTATTTTGTTGGATTTAATGAGTTTTTACATTGACGAAAATGATCAAAATTCACAAATATGTACCAAAAAGTTTAGAATATCCTAAGTGCATTTAGTGACTTTTTCAAAAAATCAATAATATACAAATACTAAAAAGAATAATAACATAGATAACTGATAGATAATAACCAATGAATGGTTAAAAAAACTTTGTATTCATATTTTAAAATATAACTTAAAACAAAAATATTAATAATAATAAGTAACTGAAAGTGACTTGAAAAACATAAAAAAGTAATAATTAATATTGTTGATTGAAATTTATATTCAATGTATTGTTGAGTCAAAATATTCATATCACACATAGAAAAGAGTAACAGGAATCAGTTAACTAGTAATAGACCTTAAAATTTGAATTCAATTAACACATAAAACCACTTTTTATGAGTCTCAATAAAACTAAGAGAACATAAATAATAAGAAAAAAACAAAACAACTTGGAAAAATGTAGCAAACTAAATAGTCATAAAAAAAATTACAAAATTGCTATTATTTAATAATTATATTGATCAAACAATACCATGAGATAGATAACATCCTATAATCCTGATAATAAAAAGGTTCACTAACGCATTAGTACATACATTAAAATAGAAGTTAAATTATAGTGAATGATTAAACTAATGCAATAATAAAAATTTAAATTCCGAAATTTAATGACTTAAGGACAAGCTAGAAAACAATAAATAGAGGAACATCATTTTTAATATTTAAGGAATGCCTATTTTCCAAGTTTTAAGCAAGTACCGAATTCGCCTTACACAGAGCAAAAAGCTAATAATGCTATTAGCTAATTAATGAGCTTCAATGTAACCTTTTTTTTTTTTAAATAAAGCTTGCTTTTAATGTTTTAGCAGAACTTCAATTTTATTGGAAGGAATTGCAAAATTTCATGGAAATAAGTTTGAAATTATTTCATTGTCTAATACAAAATTAACTTCCATAGATGATTCACAACATGATATGTTAAATGTGTAATGGCTCAAGAATAAAGATTAATTCCCCTTCCTATTACTATTATTATAAGAAAGCCATTAGTTATGTTTATCATTTACTTCTAAAATAATTGCATATTTTCAATTTTTTTTTGTTTTTACATTATGGCCATAGAAAATACAGTTTTGGTAATGCATCAAACAAAATTGAAAGCAATTAGGCATTTTAATGTTTGTTGAGAACATTTAAGATAATTTTACAGAATCAACAGACTATACAGGAACAATAGCTTGAATAAATATCATGAAAAACATATTAAGCGTGATCTATTAATGAAAAAATTTATAAAAGATATCAATTAAATTATAGTGCTGGTAATTAATGTTAATGTATTTCTAACCTGGCCTAGAATTCAAATGATCTGGAAGAGGTTTGTCCTGCATTGCATCATTGTACATGAGCCTTAAGACATTTAAGTCATAAGCTGTCATATCACCTTCACCGCCACCTTCATCTTCGTAATTAATAATATTTTCTCTAATATCGTCAGTGTCTTTATACAGGTCATCAGTTTTTCTACGATGGACAACCACTGCCAGCAACAGAACTGTAAGAAAAACATAAATTAAATGATAACGCTTTTTATATGTTCCAATGAAATATGAGGAAATTTAGTTTTGTTAACATGAGATAAGTAACAGTGAAAAAATATAATAATAAATTAGTTTTCTAGTTCATTATTACTTATTAATTTTGTTTTTAAGTTTAATAATAAATAAAAATTAATGAGTGCAAGCCTCACTCTACTACTTAGACCAGGTTCAATTCCCTCAAGGAGACGGTAATGTCCCCACCCAGAGATTTATAAGCAGGTGAGCGACCCTTACACCATAGCTCCTGGTCCTCGAGGTTGGGGTTTGAGTATAGGGCTGATAATACTCTATCCCATAAAAAAACTGGATGAAAGATTGAAGCAAAAGATTGCCAACAATCCTTCAGGAAAGTTCCTGATGGGGAGGGGGTGAAATGTGATCATGCCCGGTAAGTAAACCACGTGCTCCCTGGATATCTTGAAGAAGAGAAAGCCAAACGATCACTACTGTGGCCTATAACAGCACAAAGCTGCATAAGAAGACTCATGACTTAAAAGTCAAAGTCTTCAGGCATAAGATAAAAAAATATGTTTCAAGTTTATATTAATTTATTTTTATTTGCATGTTTTTACAATATATATATATATATATATATATAAATTACTATAAACTTTAAAAAAAATAATAAGTAATAATGAACTAGGAAATATTTATTTTATTTTTTGCACGTTTTTACAACTCTGCTCTTGACTATTCCAAGCCAGGATGAAAAAGGAGGAGGAGGAATAACAACCTAGTTACAAAATCTGGGTTCAGCTGGCCCAGCTGATAGCACCCAGTAAGGGTCGTTTCCAAGGTTACAGGTCCCGGGCAAAAGGGTAAAGGCAATGTGGTTGTTGGAGAGGGACATTGGTGCAGGAATCTCCAGTACTCGCTCTGCACTTTGGATAGGAAAACGGACTTTTAGATTTGCTGCTTGGAATGTCAGTGGTATCAGCAGAAAGGAAGAGGAACTAGCAGGAGTAATACGAAAGGCAAAAGTGAACTTCTTAGGAATCACAGAGACAAAGAAGAAAGGAATAGGGAAGACAAATACATAAATATATAAAATTCTGGTAACCATGTATTATTACATTCTGGAGTTGGCCAACATGAAAAGGCAAAACATTGGGGTAAGTCGTCTACTCAACAAGAATCATATACAAATATCAAGAACTGGAAGGCAGTTAAAAGCAAATTAATGACAGCAGAGCTCTTTTTAGAGCAAGGAGTATATACCATCTTCATCGCATATAGTACAAACAATGACATCATTAATGTAGATAAAGAACAATTCTTTGAAAAGTTACAAGAACAAGATAGCTGATGCAGATTCATCTTAATAATTATGGGAGTCCTTAATGGCCGGATAGGCAATGACTGGAAATTATAGGAAGGAGTAATAGGCCACCACAGAGAGGATGTAATAAACAATGGTGAACGAATTCTCCAGTTCTGTCTTGAGAACGGGGACGGTTCTTGGCTTGAGCCCTCAGTTCAAGTCGTTCCTCATCAACTAAGAATGTGCAGGCACCCTCTTGCACTATCGGCAGTTGATGTTAAGCTGAAGCGGTTGTAATAACCGTGGAGCCGGAGACCAATCTTGCTCTGAGGTCAGGTAAGAAATTTTACCTGAACAAATTGGTGCTAAGGGGCTTCGCCAGAGCCCTGGTGGCGCTTTGGATCGACGGCAAGAGTGCTTGATTGTTGCAGTCGTGACTTAGTTCCGGCCAGTCATCTGGTTTAGTGTAGACGAGCGGTGGAAAGCTATGATGGTAGGGTGAAGGTCCTCTCAGTGAGCACCGGTTGAGTGCTTGCACCTTAGGACCTGTCCGGGCTGTGAGGCTAGATTGGGATCGGTTAAGACCCATGGGTTAGGTATGAACTCAGCCGGTGCCTACACTTCACAGAATAAGCGTATGAACCCTCTGTTCTGTCTTGAGAATAATCTCTTATTGTCAAACTCATTCTATCCCCACAAGAACATTCATAAATATACTAGAAAAGAATTCTCAAGACAAGAAAAATCAATAATTGATTATTTCTTAATAAAGCAGGAGAGCAGGAAAACTGTCAAGGAGATAAGAGTCCAACAATGGTATAAATTCTGAAGCGATCATTACCTAATATGGCTGGATGTTTTTAATATAGGAGGATCTAAATACCCCTAAAAAGGCACACACAAGATGGGTTTAAAATAAAAATGTACAAGCTCAGGGAAGAGGGTGTTGCCATATGCTTCCTTGAGAAATTATCAATAAAGGAGAATATCTGTGGGACAGTGATTACTTGGAAATGTCATGGAATGCCTTCAAATCTATACTGGTGACAGCAGCAGGAAATATTTGCTGCAAGAGCAGAATAAAGGACACAATAGAAGAATACCATGGTGGGATAACCAGGTTAAAGAAGGAGTTAAGAAAAAGAAAGAGCTCTAGAAGAAATACCTAGCCAGCACATCACAGGATGAATACCAGGTCTACAAGAGGCAGAGGAAAATTGTGAAATCAATGGTGACCCAAGCCAAAAGAGACCTCTGGGAGAAATTTGGAGAGAAGATGAAAGAAAACTTTAGGAGAAACCAGAAGATTTTTTATAATACCTAGATGTTCCTCGGGAAGGGAAGAGAGCTCGTACTGAAGTTTATAAAAGACAAAAATGGTACAATCCTGTCAGACCCAGAAAAAGATTTAGATCTTTGAGTGATATCAGGCAGGCATGCAACCTTAGCCCACTCCTGTTCATTTTGGTATTAGATACTGTCTTGAAGAATTCCAAGAAGAACATGAGGGGTTTCTACATAGAACATAGAAGCATACAAACAGTCTATGTAAATATATTTGCTTTTGCAGATGTTATAGTGGTATTTGGAAGGAATGAGACCTTGTATTCGGAAGGAATGAGACCTTGTATTTGGAAGTAATGAGACCTTATTTGAGAGGAAAGAGACCTTCAGTTCAACTTCAGCATTATATAGGAAGAACTTGCCATGTTAACACCAAATCTGAAAAGTCAAAGATGATGAGCATGGGAAAAAACTTGGAGGACGAGTAATCAGGCTAGAAGGGTAAGAGCTTGACAAAGTGGAAACATTCAAATACCTAGAAACACATATACATAAGGGAGCTATCATAAGACTGAAACAAGGGAGAGAATAGCTGCAGCAGAGAGGTTATTTAATGTTCTGCAAAATTCCTTAGTCAGAAAACCTGAAGTCTTGAAAGATACAAGACAACCTGTTTGCCTTACTCATTCCAGTGAGCGATAAAGCCTATCCACCAAGCATGCAAGCCAAGTCATAGAAATAAGGTTACTCCAGAAAGTTGTAAGAAAAACTCGCCAAGATAGAATGAGAAACACCATGATAAGGAACAATCTCGGCCTAAAATCACTGCATGAAACTCTGGAGGAAAATCGTCTGTGATGGTTTGGACATGACTTACAAGGGCCAGGTGAGAGAATAGCTTGACTATGACACAAAGGATAGAGCACAATGGACCCAACTATTCAGAAAGAACCTTCACACTGTACCAGGCGGTAGACGAGGAGCAGATAAGTCAACTCATGTTTTTAAACAAATTTATAAATGCAATGCTGTTTGATTCACTAGTGAATAGAAAAATAAAATGCATGAGTATTTGTTATTATTGGTTATTTAGGGCTTTAGGGACTTTAATTATTTGAGGGCTTGAGTTCAAGAGCAACAAGTTATTCATAACACCTATTCAAGACAGCCTTCAGACCTATATGACATAACAACCATTATGAAATGTCGATTGAAAAAGTATTATTTTACAATAAATTTGTAATCTATATTATTAAAAATGTAAATGAAGTTATAATATCCATATAGTAATTGTTAGCAATGTCCTATTAGATGAACTATGAACATTTTTTTTTATTATTTTAAAGTTTAAAGGATTTATATAATATTCAAAAATACTCAACATGACATTTAGCAAAAAAAAAAAGTCATGAAAGAATTATAAAAGGCTTACTTAGTAATATAGCTAAGCAGATAATAATGGCAATTATAAAACTAGGATCTATTCCAAAAGAAACTGCAACTGCAATACCAGCATTACAACCAATGTCTGCATTTTTCGAATGTCCAGGCATTCCAAGATTATACAACTAAAAAAAAAAAAAACAGAATAAAAATAGTATTAGAGATTTAATAAGGTAAAAAAATACAATAATGTCACTCTTAAGCTAGTATAATAAGGTTACATAAATGCATAAAAATAAATTTGAAAATAAAACAAATTCTTCAAAAATACATACTTTGTTATTAAAGGTGACATTTTTAACACAACCACTAAACCCTACTCTTGCAGGTTTATAAGTCCAGTTCATGTGATTGTCAAGGTAATTAAAATCAACAAATGAGCCTCCTATTTGTAATGGTCCATTTACATTCAAAAATTCATTGTCACCTGCTTTTAATTTTAGGCTTAAACATGAAGGTAGCTTGCAGTTATCAACTTGTAATTCAATAGTCTAAAAAGAAAATAATAATATAACTTTAATGAAATTCCAATTAATACAAGAACATAATAAGATATTTACACTAGTTTTAACATAATCTAACTTTTGATTTTATTTATTAAAAAAAATTGTAAATTAGTTGTTATAAATGAAACAAAATTAAAATTTCTGGAATATAAGAAGAAATTTAACAACATAATTTTGTTGTATATTTAATCATTGAATGTTTAAATTTTATTGAAGACCCTTACTGTTCTGGACCATATTATGTCGATACGATGCTGCTCTCCATCATCAAGTCTGATTTGTTTGGGATCTAGTTTTACAGTACCAGTTCCAAAATCCAATAGAAGAACTGGGTAGCCATCTACCACCTCAAGAGATATAAAATCTATAGAAATAAAAAGAAAATAGGGTAAAATTACACAATAGATTTTCTTTTACTTATCAAACAAAACCAAAGATTTTTTAAGAATAATAAAGAAAATGTATTTGAATATTTGGTTGCTTTTCAAAAGTAAATAAATAACTATTAGCATGATATTTACCTTGCACATTCAAAAGTCGATTTGGTTTAGTTGGCCCTAGGTAAAACACAAGACCATCCTTTTTATTGGAACGAAGTTCCAAAGACAGATGTGAATCAGCACAAGATTCTAATGGAGGATAAAGGGCCCATCCATTTCCATTAAATCCAACACTTAGGATCTCACAATGAGGTCCTTCAAAGCCAGGTTCACATTCACACCTAAAAGTATATTCATATTAATAGGAGCTAAGAATAAAAAAAAAAATTAAGCAAATTAATAATCAAAGTGATTTGACTATCTTCTGAATAATTAAATAGAATAAAAAAGTTATTAACTTACTTGTCGTTAATAAGTGTACCACCATTATAACAAACTGGCCTTGAAAGTACCTCACAATTACAAAAAGGATCTACAACAGCTCTCACACCAACAAAAGTTGTTGTATTAGTGTAAACGGCGATCGGCTCACGACTTTTATTCAGAAAATTAATACATGAACCCTCACAGTACTGCCTTTCAATGAGACATTCATCTATGTTCACCATGAGAATCGCAACTCCAAGCTCTTTCTCCAACTAAAAAAACAAAAATGGATTTAAGTTGCAAAATAATAGCTATGTTTCAATTATTAACAATAACAGAAGAATTATTTGAAGACATTACAAAAAGATAGAATATTTCATATATTTCTAAAGAAATATGCATCAATAAATCCGTCAGAATGTACTTGTAGACAGGTTGAAATTTTAAATATAATAATTATTGTTTTCTAAAATTAACTTTAATCAAAATTTTACATCATACATACTTCAGCATTATGCACGCTCACTGCTGCATTCAGTTTTTCTGGACTATAATAAGGAGAACCATGAGCTGAAAATCGAACATCCAGTAGACTTGTATTTGTATTGTGTGGAGAATGTAAAACAGTAAACACATCAACATTTTCTTCAGTAATGTTCAAGAATTTTGCTAAATATTTCCTGAACATAGTTCTCTTGCTGATACCATTCTAAAATGTATTAAGCAACAAATTAAAAAAAAAATCATAAATAACAATGACACAGCGAATAAACGCCAAAAATACTTACAGAATTAGCTTCTATAAATTCTTCAGCAGTAATTCCAACTAAACGAACAGAACCTGACTTATCAACAGCTTCTTCTGGTATTTCTTTGACAGTAACATTGACGGTAGCTGATACACTGTGAGCACTGAAATATCTGGTTGTATTTTCAAAAACCTACAAATAAAAACAAGGTGAAATGATCATAAATAAAATAAGAACAAAAATGTTTGAGACACACTGTAATTACATTATGGAACTTTTAGAAATAAAAAAATGAGCAAGCACTTGACGATGATAGAGCTTTTCAAATCTAATCAAAATCATTCATCAAATGAAAACATCATTTGGAAATGAAAAAAAGTAAATAATTAATGAATATTTCTGTTTTTTTATGACAGTAAAGGAGAACAATTAGAATAAAGAAACGGTTAATTTGCTAAAGTTAAGGCAATACTTACAGTAAAGTTGAGGACATATGATTGATCAACAGTTCCTTGCGACATTGTGATCATGCCAGTCTTTGGATCTAAATAAAAATATGGACTGGCCATACCAGCCCATTCAAAGCGTTTGTCAGGTAAATCCCAATCATCAGGGTCTTCTACATATACTCTACCGATTTCTGTATCTGGGGCCTCTCCCTGAAAATTAATTTTAAAACGTTGTAGCTTATTTTAATTATTTAATATTCTTCCTATTGTTAACAATTAGCATAAATAAGCCTATATTTTTTATCTGAATGTAAAAATCTACAACAACATAATATTTAGCTGTTACATATTAGCACAACATTACAAAAACTTTAAATTAAAATAATGAAAAAAACAGTATTATAAACCAGTGAATGGTATACTTATGATGAAAATTCTAAATTAGAAAAAAAAAATCCCTACCTTGTAATTGTAAACGAAAATTTCACTATATCCACTTTTCATTGGATTGTCATTAACATCGCCAATGACAACATGTAATGTGCTTGTACCAGTCAAACTAGGGTTGCCACTATCAGTAATAGCAATGGGTACAAAATAGGATTTCCTCTCTTCACGATCAAACCTGACAAGTGATTTTAAAGTTGAACCTAAAATTAAAAATAACATTAAACAACTTCTTAAAGATTTGGAGTGATATAAAGCATGAATGGTATAAATAATATACACATGCATAAATCAGCACACATACATATATAAGGAGATTTAATATATATATATATATATATATATATATATATATATATAAAAGGAAAGTAAAATCTATTTTATAGGTAAAGCATTGTAGTGATGGAATATAAAAATTTAAAAAAATAATAATAACTGTTAATATGTAGGGAAAGAAATTGTAAAAACTAAAACAAAAAAATATATAAAAAAACAAATAATGATTTACATATGTTCCCTAAGATATTTAATGCACACACACACACACATATATATATATATATATATATGTATATATATATATATATATATATATATATATATATATATATATATATATATATATATATATATCTACAGAAAACAGAAATACTTCCCATTAGGCAATACAGTAAACAAAATTTTTAATCTATCTCAACTTTAGACAGGAATATATTAAGTTTCTAACAAAATTATCTTATCACATGAGAATATGAATGCTCAATTATCTTTTAAAATTGATTAACATCCAATTAATTTCTTAATTCTGGTGTTTGTATGGTTTGGAGATCTATCTGAATTATGATTTTTTTAAATTCTGTAACAGCTTTCTAATTATGTTAATTTAGTGGACTAATATGGATAATAAATCTAATTTTTATTGAACCAAAGACTCTTTACCATACTAATTTTATTATTTTTATCATTCAATATTGTTTTAAAAAAATCATTAATAGAATAGTGCAGAGGTTCTTAAACTTATTTAATCCGAGGACTCCTCTTAAATTACTTTTTTTGTGGAGACCGCATCCCATATCTAGAAATTTTGGTTTGTTATAATTATAACTCGTTAAGTAACAACAAATTTCAGAAATTATGACCTAGTAGGAATTTTATTAAACGAGTTATTTGAATAAAAATGAAAAGTTGAGGATCTAAAGCTAATTTTTTTGTAGACCCTTAAAAATAGCTATGTGGACTCCCAGGGAGGAAACCACATTTAAAAACTTGAGAAATAGAGTAAATTTTTAAATAACAGAATAGTACTGTTTAAAACATAAATCAGATGTGTCGTGTGAATATATGATGCTGAGACACTTAAGAGAACGTTAATGGATGAATTCCATTGTAAAAGATGGATTGGTCTGCCAGACCTTAGAAGGAAGAACTCGGTCTTGGCAGATGCATGGGTTCTACTAGGAATCCAAAACTGGAAAGTTGCAGCAATAGATTATGCTAAATGGTGGAGGCTTTGTATCAGCAACAGAATATAGTCCCTTATATGTTCGTACATACTGCTTAAATTTGAATTTTTAAAATATATAAATGTTTCTTTAAATATTTTAAGTATAGGTATGTCTTAACGATAATTTTACCTGATATAGTAAATTTGGTCTGGATTTCAGTGCTAGCAGATGGAGCAATATTGAAAGTGAAAGGTGGACCGTTTTCTGGACCATCATTATCTTCAGCATTTAATTTCACAATGTCTCCAGGGGGTTCATTTTCTGTCCAAATTACTGGTTGTGACTAAAAAATAGATAAATAAAAATCAAGCAAAGCTAGTAAGAATGAACTTGACTGAACATATTAATTATTGTAGATTATAATCAAAACAAATTTAAGTGACATAAATATTTTGTATTATAATTTTAAAATAAAGATTTACCATGTCTAAGTATGGAGCATTGTCATTTATGTCGGTTAACATAATAATGACTTCAGTGGTCTGTTGTACCCCCGTGGGCCCACCATCTTCATCTTTGGCACCAATCAAAACTTGCCAAGACTCAGTACCATTAGGAGGATCTCTATCTAAAGGCTGTACAAAAAACAAAACAAAATTTAACTAAATAGTTATTTTATAACAAATGTTGATTCACTTATGTAATTACTGAACTATTTACTGAAATTAACAAAATTTCAAGTGCATTTGTTTTTGACAACCAGAAATAATATGTAAATATGAAACTTTTAATCAATAAAATAATTTTAATTTTAATCAAATCTTATTTTTCACTGAATATATGTTATTATTGACAAACATTAGTATTTCTTATTAATTAAAGAAAAATGAATAATAAGAGTGAAATGATATGAAATAAAGTTAATTATATAAAGTGTTAAATAATACCTTTATCAGTGAGAGGCAACCTTTTTTGTTGATATTTAACCACATACTTTGCTGTTGTTTTACAACAAAATAAAGTATATGCTGAGGTGCACTTCTATCAGGAATATCTGGATCATAAGCTTCAAGCTAAAAGTAGACAACCATATTAATAATACTGAGAGTATAATAAAACACTATTTCCACATTACAAAAAAGTATTGAAAAGAAAAAAAAGACCAATGTTTTACGATATCTAAATTTAATTAGATATTTTTATAAACAAACAACAATTATCGTTATATACATTGAAGAAAAAGAAGGTTTAGTTTGCCAGGATAACATGATTATTATTGAAAGGTAGTAAAAAATAATAACATAAACCACAAATTGTAAAAGTGAGGCAACAAAATACTTGAAATCGCTTTCGGGGTTATAGGTTGTATAAAACAAAAATAATCATATGAATGCTTTCAATCATCTATATGGGTACCTAATAGTTGTTTTATGGTTCTGTAGTAGTGATTTTGTTTAGATCTAATTGAAATAATATTTTATTTTATTTAAAGATATAAAAGAAACGGGTGTTCTCTTCAAAAATAGCTGTGTACGCATTGAAATCTAATATTAATGGACTAGACCTAGCATAAAAGCTGACACTTAGGAATATTGATGGGACAGCAAAGGTTAGAATGCCATACATAAAATAGTAGCCCAGTCATCAGTTTATTATCACTAAAAATTATATTACTATGAATATTAAGTATTAGTAATTATAGTATAGTATAATTATTACTTATCAGTTTTACTGAACTTTTTTTGGGAGAGCTCTACAGCCCTGTCCGCGCCCTGGCCATCATCCAACAGCTCGACACTCCCAGTCGCACCGCGTCCCTTCCAACCTTGTCTAACCATCACTTGAATCTAACCATCTTGTCAGGGGTCTTCCTACTTTTCTTTTTCCCACTGGTGCATGCTTCATTATCCTTTTGCAAATACTGTCTTCAGCCATCCTTTGCATGTGACAAGCCCAACGAAGCCTGTTGATTCAGATAAATTTTACTGCTGGGACATCCTTATCCTATTCGTATGGTTCCCAGTTGTGCCTTATTCTCCAGGTGCCATTTTCTTTGATGGGCCCACAAATCCTTCTGAGGATTCTTCTTTCGAAAACTGCAATCTTCTGTACATCGATTTTCTTTAGCTCCCAGCATTCATAACAGTATGTCAGTATGGGTCTGACGACAGTCTTGTAGAGAGTAGTCTTTATGTCTTTATTGTTTTTGTTTTAAAGAGCTTGATTAAACCGTAATAACCCCTGATGGTGGCTATGATTCTCTTTTCTATTTCTTTGGAAGAGATATTGTCAGTATCTACAAATGACCCAAGCCACACAAATCCCCGAACTGTTTCGAACTTGTATCCACCTCTTTTTATGTGCCACTAAAGTTCTCTGTCCATCAAGTGTCAGTGTCATTAAGGAGGTTCCCACTTTTATCTCTGCACGCAATAGATCAAGACTGAAACTCTTGCCTCATGTTGTTTACTTTTTTATACATATCTCGGCTTAATTTCTTACTCTTGTATTACTCTATGCTTTGCAGATGCTCCATCATTTGCCTTCCCTTTTTCTCCCTGTTCACTTTCTTTTCCATCCTCCTTGCTTTTTTATATTCTACATGGGAGACCCTCATGCATTTACTTTGTATCATCAATTGATAGGCTTTGTTCTTATTATCTATAACTTAGATAATAAGAACAAAGCCTATCAAAATAATAACCACATACTTTGTATGGCCAAAAAAAATGGCCTCAAGAATGTCCTCTGCAGCGGCAGCCAAGACATTCTTGAGGCCATTCCAGTGACTCTGCACCTCTTATCCCATAGCATCAGCCCATCTCCAAGCCACAGTTTTCTGATTGGTACATTCCTTAAACTGCCTCATTATAACCTCTTCCTTGAGTCTCAGTATTGTACCTTGTAATCCTCGTACCTCTCTCATTTCTATTGTTAGATGTCCTAGCTCTTAATTTAGCCATCAAAAGGAAGTAATCACTGTTGATGTTGGTACTTCTGAACACTCGAACATCCTGTAGGTCTGATCTATAGCATCTCAATTAGGATATGATCTATCTGATTTACTGTGTTGTCATCCGGAGAGGTCCACGTACCCTTGTGTACTTCTTTGTGATCAAACAGTGTTTCCCTTATAACTAGATTCTGGCTAACAGCAAAATTCAGTAGTTGGAAACCAATGTCTGAATAGTCTGAATGCAATCCATAGTTCCCAACATTGCTGCATAAATGGTCCTTTCCTACTTTGGTGTTTTGATTCCCTACAATCATTTTAACATCATGCCTTGGGCATTCAGAGCATATCCTTTCCATTAAGTAATAGAATTCGTCTTTCTCTTCCGCAAATGACTATAAAATACTGGGAGGTCAGAGAATCTATTGTCGTCAGCATAAAATAATAATGCTATAAGGGCCAGCAAGAAATTAAAAATTGGTTGGCTTTGTATAAGCCAGTTTTACATGGATGAGATGTTTTTGTTCTTTATACTCCATATGTAAAATTTATAATGTAGCAAAAACACTTTTCAGGAAACAAGAAAATATTCTTAATATTTCTGAAGCTCACTTACAAACAAAATATAAAGATACGAGGAATATTTCATCTTTGGTTTACAACAGCTACATTAACATTCGACAGTTTTTAAATTTAATCTAATACAGATTTTAATAATTTCATATGTTTCGAAAAATGTAATTAAAAATTACCTGAGCAATGCATCCTGGGAATAATTCTTCTTCCATTATAGTAATGGTTTTTTGATAAGAAACAAAAACTGGAGGATTATCATTTACATTTTCAATTTTTATGTGCACCTCACAATTATCTTCATAAGCTCCATCGAATGCTTTAACTTTTAAAGTATACTAAGAAATAAAAAGTAAATTAGTAAAGAGAATTAAACAGTTTTATATTAAAAAACAAAATTGATTCTTACATTGGTCCTGGTTTCATAATCTAAATTCTTATTGACACGGATTTCACCAGTAGTTTCATCAATTACAAATGCATCATTTTCATTACCATAAAATATACTATAGTGCACAAGCGAGGCTAAAAAAAAAATATATATATATAAATATAACTTTATATGTTTCAACATAAATGTTAAATACTATATTTTATAGTATACTAAATTAAATCAAATGGTAATAGTAATATATTTATATTACTTAGAAACTACATCAATATAATTTTAAATACCAGTATCATTGTCTTGAGCATTAACTTGGGTAACACGAGCATTTGTATTAGCATTTTCAGGGATAGCTTCAGCAATATATACTGCTTCAGTAAATTTTGGAGGGTGATCATTCTTATCAGCTATTTCAATTCGAAACACCTGTTGACCTGGAAATAGATAATACATTTATATATAAGCAGGGAAACTTAACGTATGTAAATTTCAGCATATAGTAAAATTTTAAGAATCGGGCATAATAATTGGGTCAATTCAATACCTTCATTAGGTACTCCAGTTTTATATAATGCAGAAGGAGAATTATCAGTAGCAATAACTTTAACATTATAAAAATCTTGTTCCTCTCTATCAAACATCTTTTTTGTAGTAATGTTACCAGTGTATCTATCAATAGCAAAATTTTCTTTATTATCAGCCAATTCATACGTGACCTGTTAACAATGAAATAAAAAAAAAAATTATGACTTGATACGTCATAAAATACAATCAAATTAAATAAAAGAAATAAGAATCATACCTGATTATGAGCAGTGGTACTGTCTGCATCAATAGCCCTGACTTGCATGACTGGAGTCCCAGCGGGTTCATTTTCTAATACAACACCTGATACTACTTCAGTAAAGGCAGGGATATTATCATTGACATCCTCTAACTGGATATTAATACTAGTTTCTGAAGCCAGATTGAATTTGTTCTGAAAAGAAAATATAAACATGATAATATGATTTATTCCATTTAAATATAGAAATAAAATTGACATTTTCTCATAAATATTTTCCAGCAATCTTTAATAACTTGAAATAAATAGTGCCCATAAAGCCAAATTCCTCTGAAATATATTGTTAGGATGTAATTTATAATGATAATCAAATCTACTGCATTCAGTGATAAGGAAAACTCTCTTTTATTGTTACTAGCTTATGTTAGGTGTGATATTTTAATTCAAGTACTTTGAAACAATTGGAGTTTCAGGTCATAATTGACATTACCTTTGATTTTTTCCTATATACTAACACTACGTAGGAGTTCACTTATAAATGTTTAACACATTTCAACCAAAAGGCCTATTATGAATGTATATGTATATGTACTAGTATAAAAGTATTAATAAAAAGAATTGAATGACATAAATCCAAATATTTTTTTTAACAAATAAAGAACCCAATTATAAGTTTGTATTATAAAATGTGTTTATATTTAATAGATTTGAAATAAGTCATTATTTTAAAGATGTATTTATAATGAACATAATTATTTATTAAATCATTAATAATCACATTTGGAAATATGACTCAATAAACCTAAAACATTTATTAAGAACATATTTATTTATTAAACTATTACTAATTACTAAATTAACTCAAATGACTATAGTTCAAAAGATCAATTTATACCTGTATTCGAATAGTGAGAGTATATTCAGCGATTGATTCATAATCCATTCGTCTAGCAAGCCTTATGTGAGCAGTATTTGCATCAGATTCTAACCGAAAAGTACTGTATTTATTGGTTTGCTCTGTTCTTCCCGTAACTAGTTCAAAAACAGGAGCTTTTTCGTCATTAGACCTGAAACAATGAATAAAGAGAAAATTAAAATTACAAAATCAACATAAGTATAGAAATGTTTTTAACTATACTCATACATACATAGCAGTTAAAGTAGCAATATTTTCAGTAAAATCGGTGAAATTTTCTAGAAGAACAATAGGTGAAGCTGGTATTGATGTGAAGACAGGAGCTTTCTTATTAGATTCAACTACTTGAATATCCAGGTTAATAACAGCTGACTTGGGGATATCCCCATGATCTGTGGCTGTTGCTCTAAGTTTAAATTTATAACCAGGATCACGCTAAAATAAAAAATGATAATATAATATTGACATACTAATGTTTGTTTTAAGGCCTAAGTGATATAGAATAATTAAAACAAAAAAAAGGTAAGAAACATTTTATATTTTTACTTCATAAGCTCTTAATTTCTTGTAATGTGTAATTGTGATAATTTGTAAACAATCTATAAAATTGTTTCCATAGACTATCAAAATTGTCATCAAATCTCCATTAAATTTTATCTCTTATATTGTGATTTGTCCCTTATGAACGATTTCTTCTGAGCACATAGAGGAAATTATGTATTTGGATATTTTATACAAATTATAATAATAAACATTTAAAAATACTTTTAATAACTAAATAATTTCTAAAAACAACATAAAATTTACAATGAAGAGTCAACTTACATCAATCACTCGATCAAGGGTGATCACACCTGTCTTACTGTCAATTTGAAAATAGGTCTTGTTGAACATATCTGCAGATCTTGGTTCTAAGCTGTACATTACAATACTGTTATTTCCATCATCAACGTCAGTGGCAGATATTCTCATTACTTCACGTTTAGGGGGTAAATCTTGAGGTACAGATTCTTGGTAGTCCTAAAAATTAATTAATGTGAAATTTAGTATGCTTCAATAACTTAAATACTGAATATATTGATACTCAATATATAATAGACATTCCCTACCTAAGAATGTACGCTAATTTCAGCAATGTCCATGATTAAGTAATTTTTATGACAAAAATATATGTAATAATAAAGTCTATGACCAAATACATACTAACATATTCTTAAGCCAGGAAAAAATATTGTATTATTTTATATTATTTATTTATTGAACATTTGAGAGAAAATCGTCGCATGATAACCGAAGTGATCTAGGATCAGAGTTATAACACATGGAGAAGTAAGACCACTAAAGAACTGCTTACAGAAACTGGTCAATCAATATCCCTTGATATGAAGGCACAGAGGTTAAGATGGGCGGGGCATGTAGCTCATAGCAATCCATCTGGAAGCCTCTACGTAACAATGAATGCATTAATGGAAGACAAAAGACCACGCGGAAGGGCCAAAAAGCAGAGGGATATATAGAATCAATAAAGATGCAATAGAGCTGCGTGCAGAAAAATAGAAAGAAATAGCCTAAGACAGATAGAGATGGAGCAGGCTTGTTAAGGCAGCAAAAGATCTACATGGTCTGTAATGCCAACAGAAAAAAAAATAATATGTTAATTAAAAACACATAAGTTTCCTTTGCAGTTTTCCTTTCATAGATATAAACTGAAGTAACGAAAAAGAATAAGATTTTATTTTATTTTATATTATGATGCTAATGTGATGTATCAACTCAAGAAAAAAAGACTTTAAATTAATGCCAATACCAAAGACTAGATTTACAATGGTTTTTGATGTTACCTATACTTCTAGTTGATAAAAAAAATTTTTGTATTTATATATTGATTCAAGTAATTTTTGTAACAAATAAAATATATTTATCCATAAAAAAACACATAATTATTCCTGATTTGATCTCTTAATATAATAAAACATAGTACATGAAATGCTACAGCCTACAAATAAAGATATATAGTGGCTTGGGATATCAATATTGTAAAATTCATTTAAAATTGAAAATGGCATTCAAGTTGTATCTTTTGTAACATAAACTAACTGAGGTATCTATCTTTTATTATCACTAAAATATTACATGAGGCAATAGAATGTTTTATTTTTAAGTAATATGTTTGGCTTGATCATTTTATTTAAAATGATTTTTTTTTCTCTCATGTATATTTAACCTTTTATCAATTGGTAATATAAATATACAAATCATGTGGTAAAAGCAGAAACAGCTGTCTTCAATGACAGTATGTATAACTATTTAACTAAAGACAATAGTCATATAAAATCAAGGTTGTAAAACAAAAACAAAATTAAGAAGCAAGTAATTAAAAAGGTAGACATTACTTTGATAAAAAAATAATAATGATTTTAATTATTAAAATATTCATTAAATAATTAAAATATTATGATTACTAAAAATCAAAAACATACAAAATAAATTTGTCTGGCTACTTCTCTAACCAAAAAGGTGAATACAAAAAGTAATGTGATAATAATTATCAGAGAAAGGGATAAAATAATGCTAAAGCAATACAATAAAAATATCAATTTTGATTACCTTGTATCTTGTTCCTCGATAGAACTATTATTAAACATAAAATGAATATAACACTTAAAATGTAATTTAAATTTAAAGATGTTCACAAAAAATCAGAAACATATGAAATTTAAAAATGTTATTTGAAAGAGAATAAATAACAATATAGATAGCTTATTCCCTGGGTCATCATATCAATTGTTTTTTTTGTTTTTTAATCAGACATTGAATCCTTTTAAGTGACCGAAAAAGTATCTCAGAATAAACCATCATGTAACAATAAAGGATTTATCGGAAATAATATGTTGCATCCCTTGAAGAAAAAAGCGCGATTATTTGTCAAAATAATTGTCATTTACTAGGATAAAAATCACTTAAAAGTGAAACATAAATTCCTGAATGTTTATTGCATGAATAATAGTATTTAATTTTTTTTTATATAAAATGCATTCAGAAACTAATAATTTTAACTTCAGTCTGATTAATTATTTGAGGTAAATTAGATATAAAACAATATGTTTTTGTTTTGTTTTTCAGTTTAGTTAACAGAAACAGTGTATCAAATATTTTTTAAAATTTGAAATCAATGACTAAACCACATTAAGATTAAGTTTAATAAAGAAATGTGTCTAGTTTAAAATATTATGTTTGGCATGCCAGTTATGTTACATTCACTTATTCCCATGATACAACCAATATTAAAATATTTAATAAGAAAAAAAAATTGATTATGTATAAGAAGCAGACTTGTTTTTATTTCTTAAATATGTAAAATTTCTTTAATTACAAAAATAATTATGTTATCATACTTACAACTTTATCAAATACTGGAGCGTTATCATTAATATCTTCAATAATAACCTTGAATGTACAGACATCATCAAGCTGAGGCCTTCCATTATCAGTCGCTCGAACTGTTAAATAAACTTCTTTTTCTCGATTTGGCTCATCTCTATCAAAGCTCTGAAAAAATATATATGCAATAAAAGAAAAAAATACAGCTTGACAATATAACAAACCTGATATGAATATTATAATTGTTTTAATAATAATTTGAATATTTAACCACTATTTTAACAATGTGGACTAGATTTACATTAATTCAAGCAGAAAAAGTATATTCAATGAAAAAAGCTAATTGCAATATAACACATTACTAAGTTGCAAAACAGTACTTACATGTCTAGTAGTAATAACTCCCGTTTCAGGATCAATATTAAATTTTTGACTTTCTTGTGGAGTTGCAACGAAAGTATAGGTTACTTTCCCTCCTGATTCTGGCGGATCTTTGTCAGCCGCGGTAACCTATACATAAAATAAGTAGAGTAATTTTAAAAATCATTTAATAGTGTTTTGAACTAAATTGAACATAAATAAATCCTTATACCTGTATAACAGTGGTGGTATGTGTCAGCTCTTCTGGTACAGAAGGTTGATACATTGAGCAGTTGGTGAAGATTGGTTTATGATTTTCCTGACTCTGGCTCTAAATAAGAAAGAAGGAAAAAAAAAGTAATATACCATAAAGGATAACAAGTAGTTGATACTATTACTATACTATAACATAGAACCATTTTAAATATGTTTTAGCAGAATTAACGTCTAAATATGTTTTTTTAAATTTTACATTGAGAATATTTCAATAACAATGATTAAAAAATTAATATACAAATTGGGTTATTATTTAAATTATCTATTTCAGACCTGTAATCAACAATACTTGATGTTAGATAAAGTACTGATTTCTCTAATATTTTCCTAATTTTATAACTCAGCAATGGAAAATAATAGTTTGATAAATGAATTATATATTTCAACTCTAACCTGTAAATTTCTTTTAATGTGAAATTGTTTCACTAACATAAGATGGAGTAATTTTGGGACTGGGTGGGTAACTTTGTTAAAACGGATAAAATTTAGTTTGTGGCGATTCCTTGGTGGATATACTGGTCTGGTTCTTTGGTTCAGTCTGCAAAAACGTGATTTGTGTAGGCATGCACTGCGCTACTACCTTGCAGCAGTTTGAGAACCCTAGTTGACTACACACGTTGTGCAATTAGGTTTTATTTATTTCCATTGCTTTTTCAAAATTCTTGTTTTAATGAAACTTTCCCTTATGTCTCAAGAACTGCGGACATCATCTTACCGAAGTATTAATATCGGCCATGAAAAAATCAACTTCTAATTGGAAACGGCCTTCAACGCCTGATGAAATTCATTACTCAAAGGACAAATTGGACGGCGAGAAATTTTGAAAGTGAAAAAGCTGAAAGTTTACAGAGATCTCTTGGCTTCAGTTAACGAAAACTAAATTGTACAAAGTGTTTGATACATTTTCTGTTTGTTTAGTAAATTTTCAAGGCCTAATTGTTTAAAAAATTATGATTTGCAATCTTATTGTACCATTAATTGCTCTTAAATATAGTATTGTTGGATAAAATTGGTAAACACTCATTCCCTTTGTTGTTTCTTATGTAAATAATCAGCCTATACAATATTTAAGGTATTATTGGTACAAAATCATGTTTCCTGCCGTTTCTAATGGAGATAATGCACTGTCTCCAGTTTACTTCAATCAATGGGGTAAGATTAGGACAAATTAAACCTTTTTTTAGAAAAATACTCTAGTTTCTAGAGTTATTGTTCTGCCATATTTTGTAAGGGGAAGACTGACCTAACATATTTATAATTTTTTCAGCATTTTATTAACTTTGAAAATAAAGATAGAAGCAGCTTAAAACTTTGAAAAGTGTTCCAAAGTTACCCCATCTTACGGTACCTAATAGACAGGCTGTAGTATTGCAGCAAAATTCGACAAAATGACAAAGAAATTCCTATATTTCACTTTATCTTGGAGTATCAGTAAATTTATGCTAAATTCTATTAAACTGTTTTGGGAATAGAAATCGTTGAGAACTTCTATAAAACATACGGTATGAATTAATGGCTAGATACTAATATTGGATGGTCGAAGTTAACCGTTCCATTCTTCAGAAATGATTTTAGTTCCTTTATCAATTTGGCCTAAGATATCAATAAATGTGGTAACCAATGGATCTTGGGCAGGGAAAAAAAATCAGCTCTTTGAGTCTCTTTCGTGACTCATCACAAAGTTCCTTAAATTATCCTTACCTGATTGTTTTGTCAGCCGAATTTTACCTTTTCAATGTTATTATGACTACTGATAATGCTATTTTGAATAATAGCTAAAAACACTTGTAAAATCTCAGCAAAAATTAGACTTGGTAATCCATTGACATGTCTGAACACTAAATAACATCCCAAGATAAGCAATGGTTTTTGGATGAAATACTAAGAAAATTTATATGAATATTTAATAAAATTGGAATAAGTATGGGGTTCATATGTAAGCAACCCAGGTTGGAAATGCATTAAAATATCTCAAAAACATTCCAGAACAGGTACAATTAATTCTCAAATATTGGAGTACTACAGGTCAAAAGTAAGTAATCAAATGCAAACATTAATGATAATAAATATAGCAGTTAATGGCATAATACCTAACAGTACTCAAATTGAATGTATATAAATATATATAAATATATATAAATATATATATATATATATATATATATATATATATATATATATATATATATATATATATATATATATATATATATATATATACACATACACATATGTAATGATTACTTAAGTAAAATTCAAGATGTATTTTAACTAAAACATATTTCAAAAAAGTCAAAATATTATTTTGAAAGATAATATAAAATTCATGATAATATTAAAGATGTTCATTACAATGGAAGAAGTATATATTTATTAATAGTTTTAATAATTACATTGGTAGCTGGCGGATAATCATCATAGTAAGAAGAGGTGGGCATTCTTTCGGCGAAACGTCGTGAATGACGAAGCTTTGTAGGGTTTCTTTTTGTTCGTGGAAGCAGGTTGGTCCCATTTTCTGAAAAAAAAAAGAGAAGGAAATATATAAATATGAATACATTACAATTACAAACATAAGTAAATGATGGCTTCGTAAAGATTACATATGGTCAAACAATTAACCATGGAAAAACTCCAGGAATAGTGAAAAGTTGTTATGGGAAAGGAGAAAACAAGAGCAACTGAACAAAGAAAATATGTCAAACGGCAATGGATTCCTGGGAACAGGAAACTACAATGAATTTTCCCACAATACACAGAAGATAGTTTATAAACAACTGCATAGACCATAAAAGACATTTAGTTGATAAGAATTTCTGTTAATGATTTCAAGAATCTGTAGAGATAAGAAATTGATGCAGCAAATTTCTTTTTAATTTTAATTTAAATATAATCCTTCAAACAGTTTTTAGTTAATTTTTTTAACAACTTAACTACAGCACATACCAAGTATTTTTTTTTCTGTCAATACTGTGCATTGTAATTATCAATTATTTATATTAGGAGTGCAGTTTCATGGCGAATTGTGCCATAAACATTTTTTTGGGGGAGGAGCATATTTTGGCGAGTTTTAGAATTTTTTAGGGGGGCCCATTTTGACAGGGTTATGAATTTTCAGAATGAAAAGTTTCATACTAAGGAACAATGGGAAAACAAGAAACAGACCACAACAAGTGTAATTGTATATGATCAACGATTTTTCTAATCATACCTTCGCTCGCTCTGTTTTTAAGAATAGGTGAGCAATAAAATATCTTGTGAGTGGAGGAGGTAGAGTAGGTTCTTGTGCTATCGACCTTGGGGAGGAGGATAAGCACCCCTGATTCATATTGTTTCTGTAAATAATATCTTTGTTCACAATATCGTACATTAATATGTTCTGTACATGTATTTCAATTATAAAATATTAAAAGCATTTTGTACTTAAGTACAAAATATTTCTATAATTACAACTCATTACGTAGGAAATTACTTAGAAGAACCAACTAAATTAAGTAATTTAATTAAAATAAAAAAAAAATAATTTTTTTGTATTTTAGAACGAAAATAATTTTTTTTGTATTTTAGAACGAAAATACAAATACATTCTTTGTATCTTAGAAAGCAAACACAAGAAATTTTTATACTTTAGTATGCAAATACAAATAAATGTATCTATTTTTCAAAGAAAATACAAATACGTTGTTTGTACTTTCAAAAGAAAATACAGTTAAAAACAATGTATTCCATACTTTACTTCTTAAAATGCCAAATATCAAAAATGTATTTTAAATTATTTAATTTGAAGTACTGCCAATATGTTATAAGCCTGAAAGCGGGATGCCAGTAAGGGAGTTTCATGGCGTAAGTTGCGCCACCAAATTTTTAGGGGGCACATTTTGACAGGATTTGAATTTTGGAGGGAGGCACCTATCGACAGGGTTATGAATTTCTGATTGAAAAGTTTCAAACCAGGGGATAAGAGAAAAATCATAGTACAGACCATTGAAAGTGCAATTGTATATGATATATGATTTTTTAAATTTTATTTTAGCTTGCACTGTTTTCAAGAATAAAAGAGAAATATTTTTTGAGAGGAGGGGGGTTCATACGCCATAGACCTTGGAGGGGGGGGGTACCCCTGCCAGCGAGGGATTAAAAATTAATTCAGAATAACCCATGGTTTATGATTTAAAACAAATTTTACTTTTTAAAAGAATCTTTAGAATACAAGTTAATTTGTTAACATATCACAAGTTTCAAACGATAAAAATATCGAAAATCTATATAATCGACATAAGGGACGTCAAAACACGTCGGGAGACTTATTAAAAAAATAAATAAATAAATAAATAAAAAAAAATAAAATAAAATAAAAATAATTAAGCCAAACGTGATTCAACGACCGATAAACGTGATCGATTTAAAAAATATCAGCTTTATAAAATGCTGATAAATAAACAGTAACTCATAATAAACTTAAACTGTATTACTTATTAGAGACATTAAAAAAATATATATATAATTAAGTGACTGAAAAACAAAAACATATGTATTAAAATTGATTGACGAAATGATTCAGGAAAACAGAAAAGTTGGGTTAAATAATTTTTTTTTTTATATTAACTTGATCCGGAACTTAACTTGAAAGTTTTCTGAGGAATATCATTGTTCCCTCAGAAGCAACAACCACTACGGCTTCTTTTACGCCGGATTGATGGTCCACTAACACGCCAACACTTTTCCATTCCCTAAATGCTAAATCTCTTTTTTTTTTTTTCACATATAGCAAACCACCATTAGTTATTGAAATAAATACATGCCGGCATGTACCATAAAAATGACCCTTCATAATTTAATACATATATATATGTATATATATATATATATATATATATATATATATATATATATATTGTTTATTATATTATAACAAAAACAAAAAAAGAGTCCAGTAATGATAATGGACAACTAAAAAAAGACATCCTATTTTTTTTTGCAATACACTAAGTTTTCTAAGAATCTTTCATTTTTTTTTTTTTTTTGTTAAAATATTATTGTACGAAATCAGAGAGTAAATCATTAGCACACTATTATTTGATAACAATTTAAACTGCAGTTATTATTAATGTTTTATTTTAATGTGAATAATAAATGCCATTCTATTTTATTTCATATTACATAAACATTTCAACGAACATGTCCCGATAAAAATGAATACATCAATTTTGTAACATCATCAAGAAAATAAAACATTTTTAAACCACAAAAACAAAAAAAAAAAACTTAGTTTAAAAGACGGTAATCGAAAAAATATTTGGAAGCAGAGCAATAACGGATACAAGATTTGATTTTGGGAGGGAGAGGGCTTCAGTCCGAAAGTTTCATATATATAAAAATAATTGGATGAAATAAAAAGAAAGAAACTATATGTATAAGTGATTCTTGAAATCCGATTAAATGTTATTACAAGAACAATAATACTTTCAGAGATAATTTTTTTATAATTCATGGTTATATTTTATAATTTTTTTTTTTTTTTGGGGGGGGAGGGAGGGGACTTCAGCCCGAAAGCGCACTCTTAGACCCGCCTCTGAAGTCAGCAACGCAAAACGCAGCAGCAGATCTAGGATTTTCATTTTGGGAAATAACATATTTTTTTTTTTTAATAATGGCGCTTCCAGAACCAATAATGCTTTTAGACATAGATATTTTTTCTTAAAACGTCCTCCGATTAGCAACTGATATACGTACCTTATAATTTAAAAAGAGGACATATTGTTATTGTTTAAATTTATGTCATTGATTAATTAACATAGAAACAAATATAGACCAATGAAAACAAAAGATTATTTGTTTTGAAGGGCAACACACTAGTGATCAAATAAAAATAAGATTATTTCAAAACAATATACCTGAGATTTAATAATTTTTTGTAACAATTTTTTATTTCAATTTAAATCATATTCTTCTAGTTCTTAAAAATAAATATTAATACTTTTATAGGTTTTTATTAATTGATTAAATAGTGTTTTTTTCCATCCTTTTTTAATTTTTTTAGGTTTAAGCTATTTAATTGATTTTTTTTATTGTCTAATAACATTATGTTTATTGTTATAAGCAAAACATAAATATCCCATTGCTTCTATAAAAGCTATTAAAAATTTAAGAATTATATTTAATGTGGATCCTATCACTCTCATTTTAAAGATTAAACCGTCAAGGACTGAAATATCGATATTTTTTATGATATTTCGATGTATTTGATAGAATTCAATTGTTCAATTGAACATTTTTCAATATTTATATCACTGCACTATTCAAAGCAATATAAATAAGACACATTAATAAATATGCGGCCGAAATATTGAATTAATAAATCGAAATATTTAAAAATATATCGATATAATATATATATATATTCTAGAAATAGTCTATCTGAAAAGAATTCGCCTTCCATCACCTTGACCATAACCTTTACGTCACGCCACTAGAGTAATGCTCCATTTTCTAATTCACTATTCCGCCCAATGGCACATTTTTAATCGGAAATATACGAGTGTAATACATATCATATCATCACTTTCGGTTATGATGTGTGTGATATGATAACTTTCGGTACTGTAAATCACAGGCAGATCTACGGGGGAAGGGACTTTCGGGCTGAAGCCCCCCCCCCCTCCTCCCAAATGGTAAAATATAACCTTGTTTAATAGAAAAAAAAATTAATAATTATTTCTTAAAGTATTATTTTTCGTGTAATGATATTTTATAGGGCTTCAAGAATTACTTAAACACCGTGTCATAGAGGTAGTTAGTTTCTTTCTTCTTTTTTTTCTAATTAATTATTGTTATATATATGATAAAAAAAGCTTTTGGGCTGGAGCCCTCCCCACAAAAATTAAAACGTGGATCCGCTGTGACATAGATGACTTTCTGAACCACAAACTGTACCTTCCAAATTAACTTAGCATTAATGAATATAAAGCAAAAACCTTCACATGTGATTGGATGGCGACAATCAATTTCCTCTTTAAGTTATTTTTTAAACTTACGCCCATAATAAATAGTAAATTATATCTTGTTTTTGTCTTTTTACAATTTGAGCTTTTGACAAAACCCGCAATCCGGGCTTGTATTTAGAGAATTAATAATAATAACAGTAATATTCCAAAGCGATATCTTAATTATATTATTATTCTCTTGAGAAAATAAATAATTCCATTAATTCATTTACCTTATTAATAAAAATATTGCTGGTAGAAACAAAATTACCATTTTGGATGATATTGATCAAAAATTTATGTCTGTAGCAAACTAAATTTTCCATATGTATAATTTATAAATAAATTGTTTAATTATGTTACATCTGTCATGACTTTTTCCGTTCATCATTTAAGTACCTCCTTTCTCAATTCCTTTTTACATCCCAGACAGACAACCCGCAATCGTAAAATTTCATTATATGAATGGAATCTTGTTAGAAGTAAATAGTCGTTCCTACTGTTTATATTTTAACATTAAATATCCACACATTTTAT